TCGAACTCCTGAGCTCAAACAATCCGCCCACTTCGGCCTCCCAGAGAGCTAGGATTACAGGCGTGAGCCACCGCGCCCGGCCATCTTAACCATTTTTAAGTGTACACTTCATAATGTTGTGCAACTGTCACTGCCACCCATCTCCAGAACTCTTTTCATCTTGCAAAATTGAGATTCTGTCCCCATTAAACTCTCATTCCCTTCCTGCCCACCACACCCCTCCAGGCCCTGGCACCCACCATTCTACTTTCTGTCTCCATGAATCTGATTACTCAGTACCTCATGTAAGTGGAACCTTAGATTATTTGTCCTTTTGTAACTGGTTATTTCACTTGGTAATGTCCTCAAGGTTTATCCAAGTTCTAGCACATATCAGAATTTCATCCCTTTTTAGGGCTGAATAATATTCCGTTGCATGCCCATTTTGTTTATCCATTCATCTGTTGATGGACATGTGGGTTGCTTCCACACTTTAGCTGTTGTGAATCATGCTGCTGTGAACATGGGACGTGGGTGCACAAATGTCTCTTCAAGACCCTATTTTCAATTCTTTTGGATGTATACCCAGAGGGGGCATTGCTGGGTCATATGGTAATTCTGTGCTTAATTTTTTGAGGAACTGCCATACTGTTTTCCTTAACAGCTGCACCATTTTACATTCCTGCCAGCAATGCCCAAGATACACATTCTTGCTGACACTTATTATTTTCTGTTTTTTTAGTAGCAGCCATCCTAATGGGTATGAGGTAGTTAGATCAAATCTTAAGGCCCTTTCAGCTGGGTTTCTCCTGTGAGAAGTATAAGGTATTTGTGGAGTTCTGTGGGTCAGCTTTACTGTCCTTGAACAACACACATCCATACTTGGCAGCTTGAGTAGAACTGAAATAGGATTCGTTTAGCTTGGGTGAACTTTACTGTTAATGACTGAAGTGCTCAGAGCAATAGTTATGAACAGATGCTGTGCTTTGTGATTACATTTTCTTTTAACATTCTTTCCTTTGAATTTCATTGGTCGACAAAGGATCTGTTTAATAAGCTGTCTTTGAATGCTGACCACACTCTGTTACGTGCGTGGTCTCATTTTCACCTTGCATTTCATTCCCTTACGTTGAACGACAAGCTCTCCAGTGATGATGCCGTGAAGAGAGTCTTAGCTGGAGAGAAGGGAGATGTGAAAGGAAGGGCCTCACTGACTTCACAGTCTCAAGAATTGGATAATAAAAATGCGAGAGAGGAAGAGTCCAGAACTCACAAAGATAAAGAGGTGAATTGCAAGTTGCACATATTTGAAAATGAAATAGTTTTTTTGTGGTTTAGGTAAAAACATTCATAAATGATACTGTTTTTTGATTTTTTTAGGATAGAAGAAACTCAGAAATAAAAGAGAAAAGGACAAGCGGAGATCAAAAACAGAAAGAATTGAAAGAAGAAAGCAAACCAAGAGAAAAAGAAAGGGACAAGGAGAAGGCCAAGGAGAACGACAGAGAGAGACACAAAGACCCTGAGAGAGATAAATACAGAGAAGGAGAGAGAGAAAAAACCAAGGCTAGGGCCAAGCAAGAGCGAGAGAGAGACAAAGACAGAGGCAAAGATTTAGAACGTGAGAAGGAGAGAGAGAGAAAGAGTGAGGGAGGAAAAGAAAAAGAGAGATTGCGAGACAGGGACCGAGATCGTGACCGAGACAAGGGGAGGGACAGGGATAGACGGAGAGTGAGAAATGGGGAGCACACCCGGGACCCCGACAGGGAGAAGAGCAGAGAGCACGACAAAGTGGAAAGGAAGGTAAAGTCTTGTTGGAAACTTCTGCCTTAACTTAGAAAGAGTTTGTGATAGTCTCTGAAATGGTTTTTGTCTTATAATGTGATTAGGAAACTTTTTTTGTTTTGAGACAGAGTCTTGCTCTGTTGTCCCAGCTGCAGTGCAGTGAGTGGAGTCATCGTAGCTCACAGCAACCTTAAGCTCCTGGGCTCAAGCAGTCCTGCCTCAACCTCCCAAGTAGCTGGGACTATAGGCGCACACCACCATGCCCAGCTAATTTTGCTAGTTTTAGTAGAGATGGAGTCTCACTCTTGCTCAGGCTGGTCTCAAGCTCCTGAGCCCAAGTGATCCTCCCATCTTGGCCTCCCAGAGTGCTGGATCAGGTGTGAGCCACCGTGCCCGGCTGGAAACTGGTTTTCTTTTATGCCGATTTAAAATTCTGACAATCCTGGATTCTTGGTAGAAACCTAAAGAGATTCCAGTTTCCTGCCAGGTGTTTTTTTGGTCCCTTAATAGTAGTTTATTGTTCAATCATTTATTAAGACATTATTCAGTAAGTTTTCAACCAGTTCCTACTTTATATCCAGGAAGAATTCTACTGGAACATAAGCTCTGTAAGAGTGTAAGTTGGATTTTTTACTCTTACTTTCATTGTTGAATTCCCAACCTAGTAGAGTGTCTGACATATAGTAGGTCCACAATTTATATTTGGTGAAGGAGTGAATTGAGAATCCCGGCAAGGGATGACAGACTTTTCAGATCATGAAACATTGGGTGGAATCGATCAATTGATAGTGGCTTACGAGGTCTCTTATTACGGATGTGGATCTTGGGGTAGTGGAAGATAATTTGGTTGAGGAAGTCAGGAAAATACATTAAATGTTTGCTCTTTTTAGAGGTTAGTGATTCCCCACCGGGCATGTAGAGAAAGTAACATTTTTCAGAATTTGAGCTAATTTGCCCAAGTAGCCCTTGTGTTCATCTTGCCAGTTGTCTTAAGATTTATTGCTTTTCACCTCTCTGTCATTCGCATGTTTATTTGGGCATTTTCCCACTTTCTTTGGAGTAGTCTGTATCTTAGCATTGCAAGCAGTGTTTACAGCAGTCTGAGCTGTGTGTGGGGTATCTTTTGGAACATGGATATCACTGAGTTTATAAAGTATCAGGGCTACTTTCAAAATCTTTTAGGCATCAGCAGATAAGTACAATAAGACCTTAGTTTATGATAATTCTTGTTTAATTAAATTTTCAGATAAATTTAGGTTGGCCAGAAAATCCTTCTGGTTTCCAACTGTGTTTTCTAACTGTGCAGATTACTTCTGTACTCACCATGCATGTCAGGGCCATTTTTCCAGATGCCCATTCTTGTGGGGACATCGTATTGTAAAGCATCCTGGGAGAATGGTGAAAATCTCCTGGTCTTCACCTGCTAGAAAGGAGGAAGCAGAGGTCTGCAGAGGTTCAAGATCTGCCGCTCGGCAGTGAGGGGCAAGGCCTGAGCTGGCCCCCAGGGCTCTTTCCTCCCGTAGCGGCCATCTTGTTTTGTACCTTGCATCTCGGTGTGACTGTCCAGGGAGGGGAGTGGGCTCCGTGGGACCAACCCTGCAGGAATGCTGTGAACCAGTCTGTTCTGTGGCAGTCAGTGTAAGCCCATTCTTTGATCTGTGTGCCACAGTGAGAAAGGGGGCACTAATCCAGAAAGACCCTGGTGGTTTTGTTAGCAATTGCGTGCAGCGTTCTACTGGAACTCTGGTGTTTTACTATTTAAAATGTCACTCCCTCCTACCCGCCGTGCACATCCTGGAGTAGCGTACCCTATGATACGTGTCATAAGCTGGATTCCCTTATGAGTTTTAGAAATCAAAAAGACATTCCCCATCTTTTGCCTTTTTCTAGAGGTCTCAGAAAAAGTATTTTTCGCTAACCTGAATTTTCTGAGGTGCTAGCTTATTCTGGTGTATTTTCCTACATGAGGCAGCCTGGGAATGGGATAACTTTCCCCAGCTCTCAAGGTCATCAGATCAAGTGTTGACATGTTATATTCGCTAAAACTGCTGATGATGTGACTAGCTTTTTAGATAGAGAGATAGACAATTCCAAGGAGAAATTTTATAGACTGATATTTGGAAACATATCAGAACCAAGGGTGAATGATGGCTTTGTTTAAAAGTATCCGAGACCATGGTGAAGTGACTGTTTTCCTACTCAAAGCTGACACTTACTTGGCTGAAGACAGATTTGTGTAGATCTTCCATGGTGATTTTGCCCACCTGGCTCTTCTGTTAGAAATCTGGGGTTTTCTTTATCGAGCCATGTGGATCTGGGAGGCAGTCGCGTGGTCTCCTGGTAAAAAGCGCAAAGCAGGGTGAGCTTCTGCGAGACACTTCCCCAGGAACCCCAGTTCCCAGGGCCCTTTGTCAGCCCTAGGAGTGCCTGTCCTCCCTGGGGAGGCAGGAGACTCCGGTTCCAACCCAGGCTCTGCCACAGTCACTCTTTACCTTCTGGTCGAATCCCTTGACGCTTCACTTTATTTCTGTGTGGAAGAGGTTGGTGAGATGCTCCCAAACTCCCTCGTGGGCTTTAGTGAAGAAAGGTGAAACAGTGGATGTGTAAACACCCTGGAAAGTCACGTGTGTTTCAGTGAGGCAGGCAGTTGAGAGCCCAGGTGCCAGGTTAGACTGGCCATCTGGGGGTTCCTCAAAGAGAATGTCTGTTTTAGGAGTGGGTGCCCCACTCCCAACCCCCTCTCCACTGGGAGCAGCGAGGGCTGTGAGCATGCACAGGTAGCGTGCGGGTGCCCGACCTGCAGTCATGGGTAATTACCGCTGGTACAGTCTGATGCATTCATAATTAACGCATGAGGACATTGCATTCTTGAAATATCGAACAGGCATCCTTTGCTTTTCATCCGTCACGGAGGAAAATGTCAGTGATGATAATCTACTCATACTGAGTTATATCTTTTAAAGAATTGGTTTAAGATGTGAGATGGTATTTATAGTTTTCATATAGTTTATGTTATGAGAGTGCTTTCCTGATTTACAGTTTGAAGCCTTTTCTTAAAAAGAATCGTTCCATTCTAAAGTTACCCTATTATCAGAAAATACAAATAGGAGCAATTTTTCCGTGGGTGATGGAGGTTCACGTTATTCACTCCATCCCTCGTTTCCAGATCCCGGTGTTTCACTGGGATGTGTTTCCAGGAAGTTTGGCCTGGCGTAGGGATTTGGTGTTCCATGTAGTATCCTGAGAGGTGGAGTTGTTTGAAGTCCTTTCCCACCTACTCTGCCCTTTATGGGAAGAGATCCTGCTATTGGCTTGGAAGACTCTGGAAATCCGAGCAGCAATAGCAACAACAAATCAGCACATCTGGGTGGTAATGTGATATTCTTACGGAAGAATTATCTTGCTGTTGGTCAGTGTTATGTAAAATGTCGATGTATTTTTAGATGTTACAGAGTTGAATAATTCTAAAGTTTTAAAAATTTTTTTGTTTTATAGTCCGCAAGCTCAGGGGAGATGTCTAAAAAGTTGTCAGATGGATCTTTTAAAGACTCCAAAGCTGAAACAGAGGTAAATTTTTAAAAATGACCGTAAGAGAGACGTAAGCTTGTGGTTATGTTGAAATAATAAATGCTGTGTCCTCTTCTGCTCCACTGAGGCATGGCGGGGCAGAGCACCCATTACGTGTGGGCCCATCTTTATTTTGTTGTAAACGTAATGATTTAAGTGGTTTACCTCCTGGTAAAATAGATGCGGTGTGTTTATTCTGTGGGTACTCCTGGGTCTACTTATGCCTTTATTTAACAAGTGTGATGTGTGGTGTACAAAGGGATGGGGTAGTCTTTTGGAGAGAGGGTGGAGGTGGCACTCAGGATGAGACTGGGAGAGAATTAAGGATTAAGTCAGCAGGCAGACAGGGAAAGGGAGGGCCAACTGAAGGGACCCCTCCAAGCTATGCTTGTCCTGTTTGGGACCCCGTAACACATTTCCTGTGGCCGGGCACAGTGGAGGCCCGCCATCTCCACGTAGGGTTTCCTGTGGAGGTTAGTCTCATCACAAGCAGTAGGGGCCATTGAAAGGTTTAAGTCAACTTTCATAATCCAATTCGCATTTCATAAAGTGTTCAGGCAGCTGCAGGGGAGATGGGTGGGGCCTGGAGTAGAGGCTGGGAGGCCAGTTAGGAGACCACGTGAGACTGGAACTGTGCCATGGAGAGAGGGGCAGGATATGCTGTCATCTCCAATTTGTTTTCTGTTTAAACACAATGTGTAAGTTTTTACTTTCAGAGTTGTTTACAAATACATTTAAGTAAGTGTATAGCAACAGAGATTGAGTCCTCATAAGCATATCCGATAAGACAGTGATTCTCAAAGTGTGGGTAGCAGATTGCTGACCTTTTTAGGGCTGTACAAAAGAGGGGATTCTAAATTTAGGATGAAAGAGATTTTGGCTTCCTTCTAATTCATGCTGTCAGGTCTTGAGTGCTTAGTTGTTTTGAGTTGCTATCAGTTCCTCTTTTAAAGCATATGGATGCTATTATTGGGTTTCAGACTTGTTCCTCAGGCAGAGCTTGAAAAATAAATCTGCTAATGGTATTGCTCTGTGATGCATCAGTTAATTTTTTTTCGTTCTCTTTTCTTTAAGACTGAGATTTCCTCTAGATCATCCAGGTCGTTGGCAATAAAAACTTCAAAACGGCGATCCAGAAATTCAGTGGAAGGTACTGCAAAACTTAAGATATATGTAGCTGAAAATATGCATCTTAGTTTTTTTTGCTTTATTCACAATATCTAGTAGAGAGAACTCATGTGGCTGGAAAACAGACCTGCTGTGTGTAGGAATGAACAGTGACTGTGTAGAAATAATGAAGATTTGTGTGTGAGCTCACGACACCAGGGACAGAATAGTCCCTCTTTGCTGGAGATCTGTGTTAAAATCTAAAAGGTGTGATGGAGTTTTCGTTTTCCAGAAATACTTACAAGTCATCTGCGTTTCATTGGCTCTGTCCTTCACGTTGGTAGGCTAAATTTAATCCTGAGGCAGGCTGGACATGAAGATCACGTGGGCAGATAATGTTTATGCATTTAAAAACAGCGTATTGGGAATCACGCTGAAACTGAAGCCCACAGGCCTGGCCTGGGGTTTGCCCAAGGGTAGTACCTATAACAGACCTGCAAATAGGACAAGAATGTTAGGGAAATGCAGGGAAAGTACTGTTGGAGGCCAGTAGTGTTGGAGGCTTACTTTTAATTGAAGTATGAAGCTACTTTGAATGAGCAGTAGTAGTTTCTGAAGAATTATCCTTCTCTTAAATTGTGTAAGTTAATGAAGTGTGGCAAGAAGGTAGTAGTTGGAGTTTTCCATTCAGAAATGAAACATAGATGGTAAGTTCTGCTCTTTCATGATAATAAGTCATGCTTTAACGAACATCTGTGTGCCAAAAGCCTCCCTGTCGGGCGATCGCTGTGGGATAGGTTCCCAGCGGTGTGATCACTGGCACGAAGGGGCATGGACTTTGTAAGGTTTCAGCTACCACGTGCCACCAGCTGTGCCCTCTGCCCGCACCTTCTCCGGTGTTTGAAAGGTGTGTTGATTTTGATAAATGAAAGCCCAAAAATTTAATTACCAGTGAAATTGTACATTTTTTTCCTGTGTGTTAGTCTTTATTGGCTTCTCTGACTTGTCTGTTCTTTCGGTTGCCTCTGTTTGGAGTCTCCGTGTTCTTGCCGATTCGCGTGTGCTCCTTGTACGTTAATGACATCTCGTTTTCACATAAGTGTTTCTTATACTTTTTTCCACTAATTATGTTTGGTTTGGTTTCTCATTTGCCTGAGTGTTAAATTTTTATGTGCTTGAAGCCACTAATCTTTTTTTGGTAATTTGTTCAGAGGTTTTGAGAGATGAAGATTTGTATTTTATCATACATTTTCATATTTCACCTTTTTGTTATCTCATATTTTAATTCATGGTATAAAGTAAGGCTCTGAATTTATTTTTCAGAATAATTCCCCAGCCGTTTCAGGATCACTTAATAATTAGTTGTACCCTCCCCTCCTCTGTGATGCCTTTTGTAGTCTGGGTTCTGTTTTTTTGTTTGTGTGTGTGTGTTTTTTACTTCCACTGTTCTCTGTTTTACCAGTAGTTTCCTATCAATGTTCTTTTCAAAGAGTTTTAAGCCATTTTATTTGCTTATTCTTCCAGATGAATTTTAAAATCACTTCATGACTCAAAGAATCCTACTTCCCACAAAACTAACTAACTTCTCAGGATTAATTGGACTTGTGTCAAATTTGTACATTCATTAGTTCAGGAAGATTGGATACTTCGAATTTCAAGTTCGTAAAGTTGTTTCCTCTTCTGAGAAGATGTGTGTGATGTGCTTGGGTGTGTCTGTTAGTCAAGGTCCTTGCTTGATAGTTTGTTTTGTTTTTAGGTTTTTTGGGGGATGTGGTATCTTTTTTCTCCTCATCGATTTTTAGTGATTATTGTTGGTATGTAGGTGCTTTATTGATTTTTGTTAACTATATCTTAAATCTAGCTTCGTTCTTGAATTCAGTAGTTCTTCCATTGATTCTTTTGCGTTTTCTAAGCAGCAGTTGTATCATCTGTTCTTTTCTAATCACTCAGGATATCTGCATCTTGTTTACTGGTAAGCTTGTGCTGTAGGGTTCTTTTTGTGTGATCTTTAGGAGATTTTATTGTCAGAGATTTGCAGGCTTTATGACATTAGCTTCACTGAGGTCTCAACAACTCAGTGGACTTTTGCCTTCCCCGCCTGCTAGCTGGGCGCTGACCTTACCATGGGTTCCCTACCAAAGCTGACACTCTGCCCGAACATTCTGCCTCACTTACGTGGGTTGGCATTGGGGAAAATGCCCAGTACCCAGAGGTGTTTGAGACATAGGACCTCTGTGTTCTGCTCAAGGGGATGAGCCTTTACTACAGAGTGTGAGGGTGTAACGTTTACTATACCTATTTCCATTTTTAAAGCCATTTTATACTCTCTATAGAATCCAAAACACATTCTGCATAAGAATATGATAATTTTTACTTATTCTTAAGTATTACATTTTAGCAGAGCTGATCACTTTGAGTGAGTACATTTTAATTTCATTTTGTTGTTGACTTGGCAGCATTATAAGTTAAGTTTAATATGTATTTTCATTGTGCAATTTCATGTCAGGAAGAAGGGACTGTAGAACCAGTGAAAATAGTCTTTCCTCTGAAAAAGAACATAACTCTTCCTACTGTAAAACTAAGAAGGAACATACTGTGAAACAGCTCGGTAAGACTGAGTGAGCCCTGGCGGGTGCTGTGTGTGAGTGTTTGCCAGTTGAAGCCTTTCGCTGCCTGCTTCTTTGCTTCCTTGATCATTGAACCGGTGGCACTCTTCGGGGTGTTAGCACAGGTGTGGCCCTGCTTGACCTGTGGCCTTAGCTCTAGAGCACTGCCTCCCTGGCCAGAGTGGAGAGGGGCAGAAAGACATGTGGGCGCCACTGCTCAGAGCCTGGCTGGCTGGCCCCTGCCAGGCACAGATTTTTCTACCCTAAGTCAATTACGGGCTGAAACTGTCCATTTGAGCCTTCCTTTTTTTTTTTTTTTTTTGAGACAGAGTCTTGCTCTGTTGCCCAGGCTAGAGTGCAGTGGTACAATCATAGCTCAGTGCAGCTTTGAATTCCTGGGCTCAAGCGATCCTCCTGCCTTAGCCTTCTAAGTAACTGGGACTATAGGTGTGTGCCACCACACCTGGATAATTTTTATTTTTCTTTTTTTTTGTAGAAACAGGGTCTCACTATATTGTTCAGGCTGGTCTTGAATTCCTGGGCTCAAGCAATCCTATCACCTCAGCCTCCCAAAGTGCTGGGATTACAGGCGTGAGCCACTGTGCCCAGCTGAGCCTTCCTTTTCTTATTGTGCAGACATGTATAATATAATAAAGAGCACACAGAAGCATATACATGCATGTTAGTTAGTGATGAGTCTCATGAAGGAAAATGAAGCCTAGGGAAGCAGGGTGAGGGCGTGGGCAGGAAGGGCCTCTCTGAGAGGGACGTCTGGATGATGAGACTGATGGGGGTGAAGAAGGACATGCAGGTGTCCAGAAGCCTCTGAGCAGAGCTCCTGAGCTGGGGCAGGCTTGCCCATGTGAGGGGTGAGGCTGGGGCAGAGAGGGGCAGTAACAATAGGCAGGGCCCAGGAATTCTGGGCCATGTTAGCGTGTGTCTTACAGTCAGTGTGAACAGAAGGCCTTGCAGGGTTTTAAGCAGGATAAAGGCAAGATCTGACTTATGTTTTAGTAGGACAGGAGTGGAGGCCAGAGAGCAGTGAGGAGGTTGTGGCACCCAGATGACAGGCAGCCATGGCTTGGACCAAAGTACCAGTAGTGAGAGCAGATTGGGTAACTGTGCTAATGGATTGGCTGTCGCTTGTTAGAAAGGAGAGGAATCAAAGATAAGATCCATTCCGGGAGGTGTCTGGGCACCCAGGCAGTGCCACTTATTGAAATGAAAGGCTCGGGGAGAAGCTGGTTGGAGGAACGGGGCGGCGGGGTCAAGAATTCTGTGTTGGACACATCAAGTTTGAGATGTCTGTGAAACCACCGAGCAGAGATGTCAAGTAGACAGCTGGATGTGTAGACCTGGAGATGAAGGAGAGAGTTGGAGAAAGTGAAGGTAAAAACAAAAAATTGAGAGTTCTTAGCATACAGGTGTTGCTCACAGCCATGGGCCTTCGTGTGATGATCCAGGGGTGTGTGTAGGTCAAGAAGGGCACTGTGAGCTCCGGAGCTTGCTGAGCTCCGCAGGTTGGGAGAGGAGGAGGAGGATCCGGGCAAAGGAAACAGAACTTTCCTCTGGCAGGCTGGAGGAAAACTGGGAGAGCGGGAGTCTTGAGGACCAAGGAAGGAAGTGCTGGGGAAGGAGAGAGGGGCTTCCTGTTAAGCTCTTCCAAGGAGGGATCACACGGAGGCTGAGAATTGACATTTCATTGACAAGGCAGTTTGTTGGGGACCTTGGTATAACCCCCTGTAAATCCCAACTAAAGCAACCAAACACAAACCTTTACAATATTTTAATCTGTTGTTAACTATTTTATGTCAGGAAGGAAGGAGGATAATATTTCAGCTAAAATTTTAGACCCTATAGTGTCTGGATTAAATAATGAACCAGATCAGGAAACTGCAACTTCAGAAATAGGTAAGAAAAATATATTCTTTAGTTTAAATTCCTCACCACTTTAATATGAAACAGTTATATCTCAGTGTAGTTATTATTTTTTGTTATTCTAACTACTTTAATGTTCATCAGATTTTTCACAATATACTGAAGATCAGAAATGACTCATGTTTTATTTGCTTTAATTTGCTAAGTTATATGATAACTTTATTAAGTCAGCTTTAAGTTAACCTTTACATGCCTTTTTATGTATAACTTATTTTTACATTTAAGTCAAAATGCTTTGTTAATCTTGCTGTTGGAATTTTACAAAATGATGTGGATGATTATATAGAGAAACTGTTTTTTATGTCTTCATCCTGCTCCGCTTCGTTCTATTAGGAAAATGCTCCTGATAGTGATTTTTGGGAAGTTGTCATGTTGCTTGCCCAGTGCATTGTGACGTGGTGCGCATAAGTCCTCCTCCTGCTGATCCAGATGGGATAACCTTAGTTACATTCTGTAACCACAGTCTTCTGTGACTTTAGGCTAAGTTCAGGAATGTTAG